AGAGAGAGAGAGAGAGAGAGAGAGAGAGAGAGAGAGAGAGAGAGAGAGAGAGAGTTCATATTGCCAACTTGAAGGACCCATTCATGAGCCAAGCCTTTGGGCATACCTGTGAAAGGTTATCTAGATTAGGTTAGGATTTTCTTAATTAGGGCTGAGCAGAGAAGACCCCTGCATATATGGGAGCCACTTTCTGGCAATAGCCCAGATATGAGTAAGCCCAAGGGAAGGTTTCTGCCTTTGTGTCTGCTTGCTGTCACCTCTTGGTGATGAGTTGTTGCTGCTGCTACTGCCGCTTCTGTGGCAGCCATCTTCATCGACATCGAAACACAGTTTCTTCAGCTTTCCAGTGTGGACTGAAGACTAGTGGCCTTCAGAAATCTTCCAGGCCTCCAGCAGCTGACCGGGGCTGAGAAGGGATCCAGTCTTGTTGCCTGAGCAGCTGCTGGGATCTCAGCCTCCCCAGTAAGAAACAGCCACCGTTGGACTCTTCAGACTCTACTGTGCAAGCCAGTCTAATAAATCCCTTTTGATATATATTCATTATATATATATATGAATGAATCGGTCCCCCAGGATAAGAAGCAAGACCTGCTGAAGTGCTTGCTGGGGGTGGAGGAAGTACGGAATGAGTAGTAGAAGAAGGTAATTATAAATGCCAGCCAATGCCATATGACCAAGTGAAGAAATGAAGACTATAACTGACATGAGTGTTTCTGTCATATTTTGTTAAGAATATGTTTGTACAAATATTTGTGTTTTCTTTCCTGTTTATATATTGTAACATCAATTATGAGAATATCAGTGGTTATTATATTTAAGTTTTGAGATACTAACAAAATGTCCCTCAAGGGAAATTTTCACCTAAAAAATTATAATTCATTCATTGATGAAAGGGCTGCTTCACCTATGATACCTTGACAATATGGCTGCCTAAATAGGACCTGCCTGGTGATAACACCTATAGACATGCTAACATGGAAGGGGGACTCTCACTGCTAGACAAAGAACTAGAGACTAAACAAAACTAAACTAAAACAACTAAAGACTCATGAGAGAGGGAGAATTAGTCTTCACCATTCAGTCTTCACCATGGATGAAATCCTAATTGGTTATTCAATACCAAGTGGTCAGCCCTGATATCACACACACACACACACACACACACACACACACACACACACACACAAACAGAGAGAGAGAGAGAGAGAGAGGGAGATGAGCACTAGACAAGCTTAGCTTATACATGTGCTTATATCTATGTAAAAATAGCAATTAAAGAAAAAAAGGCCATTAGTTTGAGAGAACACAACAGGGTCATGGGAGAGGTTGAAGGAAAGAAAAGGAAGCAGGGGACTGATATAATTGAATTTCAATTAAAATTTTGAAATAAATAACTTAGATAATAATTTTTTAAAATGCGAGAGAGCTCTTTTGTAGATTTCAGGTATATTTATTTTATTATTCCCATGATATTTTTGTATCTATATCTTCTAAATACACATATTCTATATGTATATTCTATTTCAAATATGTGTATATGCTGTGGGATATTTGTACATTATGTGAGGGTGTATTGCTGTGATGGGAGTAATAAAAAGCTGAATGGCCAATAGCTAGGCAGAAGGTATAGGTGGAATTTCCAGGGAAAAAAAAGAGGAGGAGGAATCTAGGCATGCAAGAGATGCCAAGAGATTCAGAGAGGAAACAAGAAGTACAAGATAGGAGAGCGGTAATGACACGTGATATAATGCAGATTAGTATAAATGGGCTAATTTAAGTTATAAGAGCTAGTTAGCAAGAAGCCTAAGCTATAGGCTGAGCTTTCATAATTAATGAGAAGTCTCTTTGTCATTATTTGTAAGCTGGGGGCCCAAAGAAAAATCCAACTACATATTAACTTCATAAGAATGTAAAGTAATTCTATGATAAATGAATGTAATATATATGGGAATAGCTTTCTATATTCAGACCACTAAATGCAGAACTAATGCTATTTCAATAACAATGGCTCAGTCTTCACAGCATTCTTATACAATAGACAGCTGCTGTTTCCATTATTTCCATTTTATAAGTAAGGAAAGTAAGTTGTGGGAAGTTGAGCAAACTGACCACAAAAAACAAAAAACAAAAAACAACAACAAGAACAAAACACAACCACTAGACTGCCAGCATCCAAGTTAGGAATACTTTGGGGAAAAGATGATGTTTCTACCTAAAAAAAAATGACTAGCATTCCCTTTGAAGGTCATCAGTGACCAAAGGAATGAGGAGCTGGTCTTTTAACTTCTAAACATCAAACATGAGGCATTAAGGCTCCAGGCTCCAGGGCTAGCCTGGCTGTTAAGATCTCAGTAGATTGCTTACAGTAGCAGCGCAAGGGTGCCTCCTCTGTGGAGTATCGATGGGCTGTCTTAGGTGAAGCAGTTGTACTGGGCATTCCAAAGGTTCGTTAAAGCTAAGGTGTCCTTCTAAGTACTGTAATTACAATAATTTCAAGTGACGTTGATTCCTTACCCGATGTCTGAGTGGAGCGAATGCTAGCATAGAAGTACAAGCAGCCATCCTTCAGAATGCAGTAGTGCTGGAGCCACTCTCCTGTGCTTCTCTCCAGCTGGTGCAGAAGGCCCAGGCATTCAGGATTTTTGATAGCAAGAGGTGGGAGCCTACTGTTGTGCAGCGTAACATCTTCCCAGACATGGTTCTGCAGGCGTAGTACAGTGATACATAAGTAAGTCGTCTTGCACCAGATGCCTTTGACCCACAGAGCAGTGACCTGGGGAGAAGTCTATTTGACTTTAGGGAGCCACTGCTCTGAAAAATTCTATTGCTAATATAATCTCACTGCTTGAGTCACAGTTAAATTATCCTTTGCCTGTAGAGAACTCCCCCTTCTTTTTGGTTTCTATTGTATTCTAAAGAAATCAAGAGTATCCACCAAAACCAAAAACCAAACAAAACAACAACAACAACAACAACAAAAAACCAGGAGTTTGGGAATAGAGAGCCAATGGGGATAGGTACCTCAGCAAAGAGTTGCTGATGCTCCTGTTTGTAAAGCGCTGGCCTGATATGGGGCTTCTCACGCCACACTACCCTCCAAGGCTGGATCCTGGTATGTCCACTATGAATAATAGCAGCCCCCGGCTCATGCCTTTCTCTAGCTGAACCCCCACTTGTGCAAATTAAATGCTCCAGGCCAGCCCCAGCCTGGGGCTCTCACGGTCACTGATGTGGAAGGCTGATGATAAATGGAGGCCCTCTAACCTGGAGGGCAGCCCTCAGTCCACAGGCCTGGGAAACAGGCTCGTTCTGAGAACTCTGACCCGCGGCCAGGAGCCCTGCGCTTTATTTCTTCATCAGGACTGGCCTGCGCTTGCCAGTTTCTCTTTGTTCCGTTTTGGTTTTGCCCTTTAGTTTTATTTAGTAAGGCGGTGAAAAGATATCAGAATGCAGAGCTTGCTGTATTCTGTGCTGTGAAGTGGGAGCCTGCTGGGAGTTTGGCTGTTCATTTTTTTTCACTTGCTGCCGACACTCTGAGTGCATTAGCAGAATGGATAGCTCTTAAAAGTATTCAGGCTCATTAGGGTGGTGCACTGGAGAGATGGGTGAGTGTACTGAGTGCTGTGTTCCAGGTAAAAGGAAACAAAAGCCCTGCTGTTCATTATATGACAATGCTTATGATTGTTCTGAATGGACAGTTACAAGGCAAGGACATCCAAACTCCACCCTGAACTTCTGCCAGAGCATAAACTCCAAGTGCGTACAGACAGTACTAAGTGAATGCCATCTTATGAAGGAATGATCTTATTAAATGCAATTAATAACTTCGTTACAAACCATATCCATAGTGTAAAAATGAAACAGCTGGGCTTTAGGCAGTGGTCCACAAAATCATTATGGGACAAACTCAGAAAGAAGGGTACCCAGTGCTTTAGGCTCTCAAGTGATGACTTACCTGATGATGTAATTAAATCACTTGACATTTTGTAGGTATAAATATAACAGAATGACATTGTTCTAAAGTTGGAGACCATGGGTGTGGAAGAATAGTGCAAGGTGACCAACATGTCTATAGAACAGAGATGAACATGGCCCCACTGGCACTGAGAATCTGAATACAGTGCACACTCTCTCACAAGCTGCTCAGACAGCTGCAGCAGCCCAAGACATCCTGGAGATCTTGAGAGCACAAAGAACCAGCAGCACCGTGATGGACTACTACTGTAAGGCTCTGTGTGCCTCAGTAATTACACTTCACTTTGTGACTCCATCCTGATACTTCCTGCAAGGGATGTCATACAAACTTTAGAAAATGAAAAGAGCAGCAGGACGGAAAGCTCCCTTCTCGGATCTGAGCAGAACCCCTGTTGACTCCGAGTCCCTTCCCCAGCATTTAGAACAGACCTAAGATGTCCCAGAATGGGCAGCACAACATCTACCTTCCTCCCTTCTGTAAAGAAACACAAACTGGAAACAGAGACCAGGGCTGAGGAGGAAACCTTACCTGGCGGACAGGATGGGCTGCTTTGTGCATTGCTTCAAGCCACCTGAAAGACAGTAAGATGAGAGGGACTACCCATGGGGACTGTGTAGTGTCCCAAAGAGGAGCTTGTTCTTGCTTAACCTGTCCTTCAGGTAGAGCAGTCTGGAGCCTCTGAGCCTCTGATGTGTTTCCTCACTCCTGGGTGAAGGCAACATTCTTGCAAATGTAAGGTTACCTTGAGGCAAAGCCTTACACCGTTATGCATATCTAAAGCAAAATTCATGGTATCCCCCACTACTATCATTTAATCAGCGCCTAAGAGAGAATTCATTCACTATTTCTGAGGTTTGGAATTTATTTACAACAGCATAAATGTTAATAATTGCTGTACTAACCATAAGGCACAGCCTCCTAAAATATGGAAATACTGGTGAACGGCTAGTGCCTGCCGTCCTTTCTTAAGTGTTCTTCAAACATAGTGGCTTTGTTGGTATGCCTTAGTGGTGTTCCGTCTGGAGGTCTGAGCTCTTCCAGCCTTGCATCTTAACCTAGGATTGGCAGATGGACCCTACCCCACCTGCCAACCTTTTTCACTTTTGTTTCAAACTTTCCAACTTCCAATCAAAGCACATTGCTCGCTGATATCCCCACAGTCCAGTGTATTTCCCCGGACCCCCTCTGCTCCATGTCTCCTTCCGTATGTGCATCTCTTCCATAAATAACTCCTTCATTCCCACATTCACAAGCTCCTACTTCCTGTTCTCAGTGGGTATGTCATATATCTTCTCTTAGGATACTTCTCAACTTTTATTTTGTATCCCAAAGAACAAATGCCCTACCATTTTAGATCTGACTTGGCATTTTGTTTTGTTTATTTACTTTTTTTTCCCATTTTTGAGGTTACAATTTAATTACATTACAACATTTCTCCCTTTCCTTTCTTCCTGCCAAGCTCTCCTTTATACCACCCTCTGTTCTCTTTCAAATTCATGGCCTCTTTTTTTCCCACTAATTATTATTATAGGCACTATATATACATACATATATATTCCTAAATCTAACATGTTCAGGCCATATACTGTTACTTGTATGTGTGTTTTCAGCACTTACTGTTGGACACTGGATGACCAATGGGTGTGATCGTCCCTGGGGAAGACTATTTCCACCACTCTCGGCACTCCTTAGCTGCCTATAGTGTTTTTGGGTAGAGCTGAGACCTCTTGGTCCTTCCTCTGTCTGCTTTGGCATATCTATGATGTCTTCCCTGTTCAGCTTATGTTTAGGCAGTCACATTGGTGAGATTTCATGGGTGTAACCTCTGATGTTACTAGGAGACACAATCTCACAGCCAACTCCCTGATCTGCTGGCTCTGACAACCTTTCCACTTCTTCTTCCACAATTTTCCCCATTTATTTACTTTTGGGGCCAAGGATGGGCTCTTCATTATACAGATAATCCACAGAATCTTTAAAATGGGGTCTTAGGCATGTTTGGTGTGCACAAATACTGTGCACTCATTGAGATAGAACAAAGTTGTTATCGTATTATCCTGGTTGTCCTTTACCATATATTTATTCAAATATGCAATATTCCACAAATACGAACAAAATACTTTTGCCCAAGATGTTTCTGATCTAGTACCCCCTTTAACGTTGGAAGGAGGTATTTGTTAAGACTAGACACATTGATGCTATACTCTTCCCATTCACTTTCTGTTCTGTAGCCTGTTCACCCTTTACCTTAGCTTGTCAGTTCCTTCCTTACAGTTTTCACTTGGTTCACTGAAATGGCCAATGAGCTGCATTCCCTCAGGAGAATGGGTACATATCTAATGGCTAGAACTTTTGCCACATTTTTGAATTCCAAAACATTCTCTCTCTTTGTGGAATATATGTTTATACAATGTCAGTGGAGTCTCTATTTATTTACCTCATCTCACTCAACTGTATTGTTCCATATCATGCTTCATTATTTTTATACTGATAACTATCCATCTTATAGTGTATGCATCTAGTAATTTGTTAGGAATGAGAGATATAAACAGGGAGCTGCAGCATTATTGAGCTTTTGTCTTTTAAAGAAAATAAGGAGAGTTACAGTAGTAATGTTAACAGAGTATGCTCATGTTCTTTGGAAATTCTGTTTTAAAAAATGAAATAATGACATCCTAAACTTCTTGAATTTAATAAAACATATGCTACCATGTTTTGTTCTCTGTTTATTTCTGCTTCCAAGAATATGCAAGTCTACTACTCAGGAAATATTCTTCTGACTGAAAGTAAAACCGGAGAGCCAGGAGATTAATGTATTACCTTTTCATCTCTTGGTTTGAAGTTGCACAGAGGCAAAATATTCTACTTCCAGACTGAGGCATACAGTTAAACACAAATGGTTTTCCCAAGCTATTGTCAACATCAATTTCTGCTCCTTCTAATTTTATTATGTCTAGAGGTGGCCACTTCTCTTCATCCTGTAATTTATAAAGAAGATGTTCAGTTAGTGGAGAAAATGAAAAAATCAAGGAAGACTGTGATGATGATTTTTTTCCTTAACATGAAAGTAAAGTGAAACACACTTTGCAAATTATATTTTCCTTAGCATATATTACAATATTCCAAATTATGTTTGTAATTCTTAAATACCTTTGAATAGCTGTTATGAATATGAGCTTTATTTATGCTCATTTGGGAAAGTGTTATCAATGCCAGCTTTCCCATCACCAAAAAAGGCAACAAAAGACTTCTGTATCACGTGATATACATTGTAATGATGTGATACCTCTACACAGCACCTACACTATGAGTTCCATGCTTATTGTATGTCAGACCCCCTTCTAAATCATTTCCATCAACCAATTGGCTTGACAAATTTTCATAAGATTTATGAATCTCCAAGATCAAAGACAGTCATACAAAATAACAAAGAATATTTTTCCATAAAGGACAACATTTTAACATACAATGATATTCATATAAAAATAATCTTACAGGTAAATGGTCTTTATTTTGGTTTATTTTATAGTTATTTTTCAAAATTTCCACTTCATTATTAATATCTGTTGTTACCACCTCTGCATTGAGCTTACTTACTGCATTGAACTTACTTAGCATGAAGTCACTCACTGCACAGTTACATATCATTGATGTTTACTAAATTTATGGAGTTAAGACACTACCACTGCAATCTAGTTTGGGAATGTGTCCATTAACTTCTAAATTTACTCTGAGTACATTTACAGTCAATTGCTACCATTTCCCAAATCACAGATGAACAGGCGCATTTTTGTGTCCTTATGCATTTGGCATTCTTGGATGCTTAATATAGTGGAACCATATAACTTGTGGTCTCTTTACTTAGTGTGATGTCTTTAAACTTCTAAGTTGCAGCAGGAATTAGCACTTCATTCTTTTTTAAGACAGAGTGATATTCTATTGTAGGAGATGTGACAACTTGTTTCTCCACGTGTAAGCTGACAGACATTTTTTTTTTCTGGTGTAGTGCTATTTTGAGTAATACCTCTATGAATATTTGTGTACATGTCTTAGGCACATAGGTGAATGGAGGCAAGGAGATTCTTCAACTATAAGTAGTATCTTATATGTTTTCATGAACTATATCTTAATATTCACCTTTTTAGAGGAAGACTATTAGATCCAGTGGTGTGCTGCAGTGCCACACAGATGACACAGAAGCAGAACGTGAACCCTGTCTTCCAGAAGTGTCTTTTCACACTGCATCTATCAAATGTCGGGCTTCTTGGATCACTGGGATACAAGGACTGTTGGTTTTTGGAATCAGTGATAAATGCTTATGTTATTCAACATTTTGGTTACTTAGTTACATTTTCAGGGGCATCTTAAAGATGAATTAGAAATAGAAATAAAACCCAATGAACTTATTCCATTGGTAAGCAACTGATGTGTTCACTGAAAGCAAATACCCACTGAGTCTGCCTTGTGAGGGCCCATTATACAGATTAGGTGACGCTGGCCTGAGTGTCAGTACTGTTTGGTCACTCACGGAATGTCAGGGTCTTTCCACATTCTTGGGTGTAGGCGAATTCAGCAAAGTTTAGTCGTGGCACACTCTACAACCAGGAATAGGGCCTTTAGTCATTTAAGAGGCTCTTCCCTAAAGTTACGTGTGTGTGTGTGTGTGTGTGTGTGTGTGTGTGTGTGT